GAGTAGTGGAAACATCGCTCCCTTTCAAGTAGCTCCAAGGTCGATAAATCCAACCGGTGGTCACTGCATCTTCCCTCACACCACCACATACAGTCTCAAAGTAGTGAAGTTAATTCCAACAGGTAGCGTAGCACCAACAATAACATCATGGGTCATTAACCCGCTTGTTAGCCAGCAACATAGCACATGTGGCAGACACACTGGCCTCAAGCAGTCAGAACAAACAGGTTCTGTGCTCTGGAGGAATCAGTGTTGATGAGCTGATCATTTATGGAGTGTTTGGCTTCACTGGCCGGCTGCTTGTAGGTTAGACCTGGTCAGGTACAACAGCGAGTCCCTGTACAGGAACATTCCCAGACATGCAGTAACCTCAGGCCCTCTATTTTTCTCCACATCCTCTGGTCACAGTGCAGCAGCAGGAGGGAAAATATATCCATAAAACCAAGCACAGTCGAAAAATTCTGCTTTTACAGTGGCATCGGTGGATGTCAGGCAAGCTCACATGAACTCGCAACTGCCTGGAGATTATGACCATTCAAGGAAATCCTGAAACTATCATGTAATACTTAATTTTGTTAGAAAAAAAAGTCTTGTGACTGTGAGTTTGCGGGACGTGTATAAACTCAGTCACTTCTGGATAGAAATACTAGAACATATGTGCACCTAATTTTTTTAACTTTAGCGCATGTCTAAGATGATAATTCACTGTTGTAACATTGTAGATAAGTCAGAAAACAAGGGAAAGCACCATGGGCTCTTTAATAGATATAATAATAGTTTAGTTAGGATCATGGGATGCTCTGAGACGTTGTACAAGGTTTCTTACCTGCTTAACATCCGCTCTAATTCAGCAGTAACATTCTCTGACTCAGGTCATATGCTAATTGGTCTGTAGAGCTTTAACCTTCAATCCAGTTCTTGGGTTTGACCAAAACTTCCAGTAGGCTTCTATATAAACTCCCTCTGATCAATAATTAGCCTTTTTCTTTGTTGTTTTTTTGACTAAACATTTGTTATTTCTTTTTAAATGTGAGGATTTGTTGTTTTGCCCTGTTTTATATTATTGTAAACAAAATATTTTTATGTTTTTAACTTTTACTCTTCTAATTTATTGTTAGCTTGTTAATTTACATTCAGTTGTCAGTTTATTAGGAACACCTAGTTCGAACTAAGTCTGTCTAATACAACATTTGTGCACTAAATCCCACAACTATCATGTAATACTTAATTTTGTTAGAAAAAAAAGTCTTGTGACTGTGAGTTTGCGGGACGTGTATAAACTCAGTCGCTTCTGGATAGAAATACTAGAACATATGTGCACCTAATTTTTTTAACTTTAGCGCATGTCTAAGATGATAATTCACTGTTGTAACATTGTAGATAAGTCAGAAAACAAGGGAAAGCACCATGGGCTCTTTAATAGATATAATAATAGTTTAGTTAGGATCATGGGATGCTCTGAGACGTTGTACAAGGTTTCTTACCTGCTTAACATCCGCTCTAATTCAGCAGTAACATTCTCTGACTCAGGTCATATGCTAATTGGTCTGTAGAGCTTTAACCTTCAATCCAGTTCTTGGGTTTGACCAAAACTTCCAGTAGGCTTCTATATAAACTCCCTCTGATCAATAATTAGCCTTTTTCTTTGTTGTTTTTTTGACTAAACATTTGTTATTTCTTTTTAAATGTGAGGATTTGTTGTTTTGCCCTGTTTTATATTATTGTAAACAAAATATTTTTATGTTTTTAACTTTTACTCTTCTAATTTATTGTTAGCTTGTTAATTTACATTCAGTTGTCAGTTTATTAGGAACACCTAGTTCGAACTAAGTCTGTCTAATACAACATTTGTGCACTAAATCCCACTCATGAAGGTGATAATGTTCAGTTTCAGAGAGGTGCTGATTTAGGTTCACTGTGGAGGCTGAAGCTGTTTTTATTATTTAGCCAAACCTCACAGAAAAAATTTGGGGACAAATAATAGAAACACCTGTCATTGTAAGCACACCTTTACAAAAGAAGATTTATTGCAAGAAAGTTGTATCAGACTGGAGTAGTTCTACTTGGGTGTAGCTAACAAACTACCAACTGAGTGTATAATGAAAGCCATTGTCAGTGGAAGCCATAATGAAAAATGCATGCATGTTTTCTTTGCTAAAAAATAGCTTTTACTTTACTTTTCTGACTCAGGTCATATGCTAATTGGTCTGTAGAGCTTTAACCTTCAATCCAGTTCTTGGGTTTGACCAAAACTTCCAGTAGGCTTCTATATAAACTCCCTCTGATCAATAATTAGCCTTTTTCTTTGTTGTTTTTTTGACTAAACATTTGTTATTTCTTTTTAAATGTGAGGATTTGTTGTTTTGCCCTGTTTTATATTATTGTAAACAAAATATTTTTATGTTTTTAACTTTTACTCTTCTAATTTATTGTTAGCTTGTTAATTTACATTCAGTTGTCAGTTTATTAGGAACACCTAGTTCGAACTAAGTCTGTCTAATACAACATTTGTGCACTAAATCCCACTCATGAAGGTGATAATGTTCAGTTTCAGAGAGGTGCTGATTTAGGTTCACTGTGGAGGCTGAAGCTGTTTTTATTATTTAGCCAAACCTCACAGAAAAAATTTGGGGACAAATAATAGAAACACCTGTCATTGTAAGCACACCTTTACAAAAGAAGATTTATTGCAAGAAAGTTGTATCAGACTGGAGTAGTTCTACTTGGGTGTAGCTAACAAACTACCAACTGAGTGTATAATGAAAGCCATTGTCAGTGGAAGCCATAATGAAAAATGCATGCATGTTTTCTTTGCTAAAAAAATAGCTTTTACTTGTGTTGAAAAACACCATTGTTTGTGTTGTGTGATACAAAGCAATTTGATAGCTGTGGTTTCTAGTTAAACGTATGATGCCTCATAAAATACACGCTGCATTGTTATAACAATAAACAAAGTAATTCAAATGACAACATTAACCTTCCTGTTATGTTCTGGGTCAAATTGACCCAGTGCAAAGTAACAAAAAAAATCTAAAAAAAATAGTTAAAAATATTTTATTGGTATGAAACTTCGTCTGCTTGGCGTAATAGGTGTGATCAACATATAAAATGAAAATGGTTCAATTCACATATTTGCAACATCCCCCTGCATGTTTATATTACAAAGATACTGTTCAGGTCAACATAACAGGAGGGTTAATCACCTTTGCCCATCGATGGAATCCTGAGCAGATCTACCGGGCACAGGCTCAGGGGCCCAAGAAGTCAGGGGGTCCCTACACTAGAGAACCGTGAAGGGGCTATTAGCATTTCTGATGGAAAAACAATGAAATTACTGCAAAAAGCCAACAAATGAGAAAAAACAAATACATAATAATTACAAAGAGATACAAAACTATTAAAAGAGACAGAAAATGACCCCCAAAAACACAAATCTGTAGTTCAATAAAAACAGACACAAAACAACTACCAAGAGACGCATACAATTAAAAAGTAGATATAGAAATACTTAAAAAAAGGATGCAAAACTACAAAGGGAAACAAACCAATCACAATAAGACATTCTTGCATTTTTATGTAGATTTTTAAATGCAGAATACGTGACTATAAATGCTAAATCATAACGTAAGTAAAGTATTTGCAGTACTCAAGTACTTGCCTACTGAAAGGTTTTGCTCTCTCTTTCTCTCCAGGCTATGCAGCATGTGTGGATGGAGGGTAACTCCCCTACCAAATGCGACCGCTGTCACAGAAGCATCAAGTGCTACCAGGGCCTCACAGGCCTGCACTGTGTCTGGTGCCAGATCACTGTGAGTCGCTGCCTTATGTAAACACAGATACACTCTCACTACGTTAATTTGCAATGGCCATATTCCAAACTTAGTATTAACCAATAGAAATACATTGTAAGTGTGCAGTATTATCACTTGATTTATTATAGACTATTATTGTTTTATTGTTTACCCTGCTATTAATGCATTATTTATTGAAGGGGCTTATGAAGATTGACAGTGAGATACAGCCATCTCAAAGTCAGTCTGTGACTGTTACAGAGACATGTTGGAGTGTTGCATTGTCTTCTTACATTGTAGCCAGTTTATTAGGTAGACCTAGCTAGAAGTAAAGCAAGCTAATATGACCGTCTTGCAATATCTCACTCTTCATGGAGGATGTTTGTTCAGACAGATTCAGAGGTGTTGATTTAACTGTATCATCATGTTCAGTTCTTCTGTGCTATAATGACAAGCATTTCTGTTATTTTTCCACCCTATTTATATCACTGAGCATAAGCTAAATCACAGAATTAACCCTCTAGACCCTGTAATTCAGCATAATTCAGAAACTGAACATTATAACCATCATGAATGTTTAACTGTTGTATTAGACTGCATTCATTTTAGCTAGATGTACCTAATAAACTGGCAAGATACTTACCTAATCATAATCACAATCATTAGCCAAACCATGACCCTAAAATGTAATGGTTTATCTAATAGGGATCAATCTTTTGTCCTCTTAGTGTAACTATGTGAACACTATTACGCCCCCAAAAGGCAGTAAATAATACAAGTCCTCACACCTACCGTATAGACATTTTACTTGGTGTTGCTTTGTAAGTCCACTAGATGTCACCACTGACTTGGAGTTTGCTCAGCAGTAATCCCGCTGTCAAAACAGTGAAATTCACGAAGCATTTGTTCTTTTCGCAGCATTAAAAACTCACAGTCTAACTGATACTGTTTGACCTGTCAAACAGTCGCGGTGTCCTGTCAGAAGACCTCAAAGTGCAGCGTTTCGTACCAGTGACATTTGATGTACTCAGGCTCACAGATGGATTACACCCACTCTTCTTATACTTCTCCTCTGTAGCTCCATAATAAGTGTGCATCTAATGTGAAGCCGGAGTGTGACGGTGGAACCTTGAGAGACCACACTCTCCTGCCCCCCTACATCTGTCCTGTTGTCTTGGTGAGGGTGCTTTTTCTCTTGTTGTTCATGTACACATATGCGCAGTAGATGTTCCAGAAGAAACCATTCATTTAAACCACATGTGTCAAACTCAAGGCCCGCGGGCCGAATACGGCCCACCAGATCATTTTATGTGGCCCCGGAAATGCGTATGGTTGTCTTAAAATAAAAGTCTAATTGAAAATGTACACTTACCATAAACTACATCTCCCACAATGCACGTTGATGTCGGGACACGCGAAGTATTGGCATCCCACTATATCGCAGTGTTTTTCCTTTAACCAGCAATTTCCGGACAAGTGGAAATGAGAAATAACCAATAATTAATCCCAAAATGTCCATGAAGAGGAATGTTGATGCAGAAGGAAGGTAATTTAAGGAAAGGTGGGAAAGTGAATATAAGTTTCTGCTTCAAGGAGAAAAACCGGTGTGTCTTTTGTGTCATGAGGCAGTGTTGGTGGTGAAGGAGTACAACATGCGTCGGCATTTTAGACCAAACACGGAGCTAAGTATGCTAAATATGTTATTTTCAGAACATAATCAGTGGGTAAGGATGGTGTCTCGGGGTGAGGAGGGATCTACTTGGTGTGTTCAGGGACAAGCACCATTTACCTTATCAACTTCATCCTAAACTTGACCAAGTTGTGAACTGAGACAACACTTATTCTGAGTTAATGACATGTCCTACTTTATATGTGTAACAATAGTTTTATTTTGCTTGATGTTATTGTTGAGGTGAAAATATTTTGAATTTAATTTTTAAAATATTTTTTATTGAGGAAAAAGTTGTTGCAGTCTGTTCAAATTCATGTTTTTGCGTAAACCATTGTAAGTTTTAGACTGTTCAATAAACGTTAATCTTGTTTGGCCTGCAGCCTAGACTGTGGTTTAACTTTCTGCCCCTTGTGTGATTGGTTGTGGTGGTTCTGCCCCTTGGTTGAGGCAATGACCCAAACAATCATTAAGTTTGTCCTTAACAAGACGGGTTTCAAAAGAAGCTTCTGTGAGCCACCGTATCCTCAACAGAGTCACACTGCTCAAGCCTTTGAGCCAAAGTGGTGGGGCAAAGCAGGCTAGAAGCAAAAGCATCAAAAAGCGCATAGATTAAAAGTCTGGGCAGAGACAGACTGGCAGCCGGAAACATGAGAGTGAGGGGAGGCTGAGCTGGTGCAGAACAGGTGGAGGAGCGGCAACAGCAAGGGCGGGAAAACAGAACAAAGGGGAGACCGGGCGTAACCTAAAAGCATAGAGGGGACAACACAATGTGAATAAACAGGAAGCGCAACAACAACAAAAAGCATAAAACAGAAAAACCATGACAACCTGAACAGTAAAAAGATCTCAGCCTTCACAAACTGCATGAGTAGAACATGTGCACCTTGCTCAGCCTGCTGCTGCCATAAGCAGGATCAGCAGCAAAGTGGATGAACTGTTTGATGATTGATGGGCAGTGTTTGTGACGCTGCTGTTCAGTCGCTGTTTTTGTCCACAGGACTAGACTCAGCTTCACACTCAGCGATAACTCATACACCTGTACAGTACAGTTTGATCTTTAAGGAGAAACGTGTATCCAGGTGGTTTGCAAATCATGATGTTTTCTATATCTGTGCTCAGGACCGTCATTCTGTGGTGAAGCGCGGTGAGGGGGAGTCGCCACCCAGCACCAGCCCTGACGACGCCAACCAGACCTTCAAATTCTCCCCTGGAGATGGACAAACACTGCAGGTCCGCCGGTCATCACCCCACAGCCATCCATCCTGCAGGTTGCTGAAGTGACCAAACAAAGCTGGTTAGCAGATCCCTGAGACTGTTTTTCCTTCCTTGTCTGCAGATCACCCCAGTCCCAGGCACTCACCCACTGCTGGTCCTTGTCAACCCCAAGAGTGGGGGGAGGCAGGGGGAGCGGTAAGTCACCATCACCTGCTGTGGGCGCTGGTCTGTTGCAGTTTGTACTGTGACCACGCATAGTGGTCATAAATTATAGACATAGTCAAAGATAATTATTCCTCTATATTTTTGTTATGTACTCTCAAAATAAAACATAGGAATATAGTGATATTTATTGATAGGTTTTTGGGAACAAAGTTAAAACCATTAAAAAAAACAATCATTCAGAAAAATGTGTAAAAGAATTGGATTGAAGATTTTTATTGCTCTTAATGTGATACAGTATGTTGATTTATTTTCCTTTTCTAATTTCAACATCTAGTTTATTTTCAGTTTCTTTTTCTGTTAAGCATTTAATATCCTTGTTGTATGTAATAATAATCATAATATCATAATAGTTAGTTTTCCATTTGTCTTAAAATGTTAATTCTGGGTAAATTATCCTCCATATAAACACTTTGACTGATTGACTGATTTATATTTGACAGTGGAAGACTTTGGTGTGTGACCATTTTTTTTTCATCACTTGTCTCCTCACTTTTTACTAACTGAGGCATTTGCTTGATGACAACCATCAGTGATTATTCATGTCTTATAAGCCTTAAAGAATTTATATAATCGATATGTTGTCTACCTCTAGTGGATGCACTGAGGAAATGCTCAGAAGGATCCCATACATATGGATGCACACTGGGTGCTATAGTTTCTGTATGTCCCGCTGAATGATGTAATTTGGAGATGAAGGGTGCTTATACACACTGTAAATAAATGTCTTCATTGTGGTGTTGCTCCCCACCTCCCTCACAACAGAGAATAGTCACACACTGTTGCTCTGGTTCAGCCTGTCACATTACCATAGCAACACACTCTAGTCTTTATTACCATTATAAAGGAAATTATCCACTAATAATAGAGATTACAAGAACAAAACAAAATGATTTTGAACAGGAAGCCAGAGGAAAATATATTGCTATTTCTGTCTGTGTGGATCCTGACAAGTATTTTTTTTTTCCATTTCACATCTTTGGTTTGACTGCAACAACTCATGACCAGTTGTATAAGCTTCTTCCTACATACAGATGTTATAGCTTTCAACAGATTTTACTTATTACTTATCAGTCAGTAATTTCAACATATCAGTCCATCATTTTGAAAACACAAGGCTGAGGCATGGTTTACATAAAATATTCATAATCACACTGGTCTCCTGCTGGATATCAGAAGCACATTAGGTCCAAGTAAAATTGCCTGCACGAGACGTGTGTGAAGATGAATGTGCAGGCTTCAATGAACATTTTATGTAACTCTGTGAAGGTTACAGGAAGCTGCCGTGCATCTTGCCAACACACTGTTGGTGAGTGTGAAACGATCACAGAGAGAAGAGTGAAGAGCGTGAATCTTCATTCCTCTTTTCTCTCTCTTTCATATCATGCCTCTTGTTCCTGAACGCTTAGTTAAATAAGACGCTTAGTTAAATATTAAACCAAGATGCTCCATTCGAGTAAATATATTCGTCTATATCCCTGACATACATGTATTTTGTCTTGTCATCTAGAACCTCAAAATCTACAGCTTCGAAGGGTCTGTGCTACACTCTATGCGGTTTGGGCAGTTTCAGATGAAAGTTGACGGGTGTGCGAGAAATATGGTGATTCTTTGTCAATCCAAGATGGTGGTCCTGCTCACACTGATAGCCAATCTTTGGTGACCAAAGACAGCCTGCTGTTCTAACAGTGCCAGACTGAATCCAAATGTTCAACCTGGTTATTTCATAGTATGTAGAAGGACATATACTTTGTACTGTACATATCGATCCGACAAATCCAGACTGTGTGTATATAACACTTTATTTTTATTCCTAAGGGGCACATCCCTTTGCTTGATTGCACATTACTTCTTTACTTCTGTTCTCAGCCTTATACTGGTTACTTGCCCACTGCTGCCTTACATAAGGATATGTACATACGCATTGAGAGCCACTGTACCAGTCAAATTCCTTGTGTGTCCAACACACCTGGCCAATAAAGCTGATTCTGATTCTGACTCTCATTCATAACTTATTAAACTTATATACAGTTGCTTCAGAAACTATTCAGCAGACTTTATTGTGTTTGTAAATTAAATTTTAAATTCATAAAATCATCAGTTTTACCCTTTAACCTGCAGTCATTAGGCACCTATAATGATAGGTCCACAGGATAATCACCTTTATTGGCCAAGTATGTTACATACAAGGAATTTGTTTCCGGTATAGAACCGAGGCAGCCATCTGCGGCACCAACTCAACCATCAGGGCCAATGGGGGGGTTCAGTGTCTTGCCCAAGGACACTTTGACATGTAGACTGCGAGCACTGAGATTTGAACCTTCAACCTTCCGGTTGGGAGACACCTGCTCTACCCACTGCCCTGTTGCCTCCCCACAAGGATCTACCTGTGGTAAACTGAACTGACTGGACAGACTTGTGGGCATCAGTGAGCTGCTATCGATATGCAGGAGACCACCAGAATGTCCGTGAAAGGTGGGATGTCTGCACTGTTCACATTGCATGTCAAGGCAAAAAACCAAACCATGAAGACCAAGGGACCCGCTGTAGACCTCTGTGATCAAACTGTGGCGAGGCACAGATCAGGACAAGGGCATAAAACCATGTCTAAAGCTCTGAGTGTTCCCAGGAGCATGGTGTGAAATGGAAGAAGTCTGGAACCACCAGGACTCTTCCTATAGTTGGTGTCTGACCAAACTGAGTAACCAGGCAAGAAGGCCGTTGGTAAGGGAGGAAATCAAGAACTCAAGGGTCCCTCTAACAGAGCTTTGAAAGTCCTCTGCAGAGGTGGAGAACCTGCAGGAAGGACAACCATCTCAACAGCTCTCTATCAGTCAGGCCTTTATGCTAGAGGGGCAAGTCTGGTTTACTGTTTACTTGCCCCTTGCATGGGGATGTGTACATGCACATTGAGAGTTGATGTACCAGAGTCAAATTCCTCATGTGTCTGACACACCTGGCCAATAAAGCTGATTCTGATTCTGAAGTCTCGGACTGTCCTTGAATGGCCTGGCCAAAATCCAGACTTAAACCTTACACAACATCTGTGGAGAGACCTGGAAATGGCAGATCAGAGACTTTCCATCCAGTCTGATGAAGTGTGTGAACATTTGCCAGGAAGAATAAGAAACTGTCCACATCCAGGTCTGCAAAGCTTGTAGATACTCACACATTAAGACAGGAAGTTGGAACTTCTGCCAAAGGGGCTTCTAACGAAATACTGAGCTATGAATTGAATGCTGCTGAAAATAAGAGGCATTCTGTTTTTGATTTTTAAAATGGCAACTGTATGTGTTTTGAATTAAATCTACAATACAGCACAAGGTGTACAGTAAAAGTTGACTGGTCTGATAAAATTCTGACACTGCAAATATGAGTGTGTATGCTGGCCACTGAGTTCCATAGATCCTTGTTGTATTCCTAAGCATCATTCTGTTTCTGCCTGTCATTTCTCTCAGGGTACTGAGGAAGTTCAGGTACCTACTGAACCCGAGGCAAGTGTACAGTTTGGAGCAAGGGGGGCCAATGGTAGGGTAAGTCTGCTGCATCCATCTCCTTGTTGCCATTTTATGTTGGTAAAATGATTGAGCTGGGATAATTACTATTTATAATATAGGCCTTAGTGATCAGAGTGTTTTGGGACTTGATTTGAGTGATGTTGCTTGTTCTAATCAGATACAGTATCATGTTGGCGCTTTAGAGATCTGTTGTGTTAAGATACAGGTCCACACCAACCAGAAATGGAAAACTTTAAACTACCAGAGCAAAATCTGAAGGAAACAAAACCACTATAATTTATTTTAAAAAATCAAATGCCTCTGCCAGTAATTTATTTTACAGTGACTTTAAGCTGCTTGAGGAGTTTGTATTTAAAAAGATCATGAATATCAAGTTCAGTTACTCACTGTTCAGGCTGGGAGCTGAGCTGTCAGACCACCTCTTTCCTCCATGTCAAACTAACCTGCGATGAAGGTTGATGAAGCAGAAAGGGAACACTGCCTCACTGCCGTGCTGTGCATTTGACCTTCTGACACACTCATTCATGCATACATCAGAAGTGAGCGCAGCTTCTACTGTTAAATAAATACGGTCATGCCCGTATGCCCTTAAATTAAAGAAATATGCCTTGCACCTCACAGGAGGTGTACACACTTTACCTTGAAGGAAATGCTCTTCCTTCACCATCCTTTCACTTTCATTCGTGTGACTCTCTCTCCTCCTATCTCTCTCTCTCAGTCACGACAAGTAGAGCTGCAGCCCCCGAGGGCCTATTGTAGGAAAACCGAGCCAATGACGCACTCGGGTCTTGAGGGTGAATGCTGTAGATGAATCACACAGCATTAAACACAAAGACTGTCGTGTTATTGGACTGGAAAAGCAATCAATTTTGTATTGTGAGACTCAGCCTTTTGGAATTTTAGCCTTAGTAAACTCAATGTAGCTGCATCTATCTGGATGAAACAGCGTTCTGAATTAAGCTTTCCGTTTTTGTTCAGTGAAATGAAGACTCCGTCTTTACCTGTGTGGTGAACAGGCTTCCCCAGGCTGTCACCACTGATCACTACCTGGATGTTAAAAACAGTGAAATATTTGTCACTTCTGCTCATCTTGCTTCACTTAAGACAACATTTTTTCAACACTGTAGCCTATAGTCTGTTACTCTAATAGGCGTCTGATTGCAGGGTCCTTTTCATATCCTAAGTGAGGTGATATAATACTGTTTTTGCTGAGCAGTGGGAGAGTTGTGCTGCTGCTGCTGCTGCAAAGAGGGAGAGTGCGGCTCTACAGTCTGCGCAAATGAATAGACACACAGGACTGAGCGAATGTTGTCACATCGAGGGTTAACGCTCTCTCTCAACTGTTACCACAGGCTCCCTAGCAACAGGCTCAGCAGCCTTCGAGGTGAGAGGCAGTGTACTCGGAGTAATCTGTTTAGGGATCACTGTATTTTCAGCCATACAGACTTTGTTTCAGTCCTTCCACTGATGTAAACCTCCAGTCAGCTTTTTGTTGATGTACATTTCTCCCGAGCTGTCATACATGAAGCAGAGCCAAGATTAGGTGGCTTAATTAAAGTTTTATGCTGACACAGAAGGGGTTTGGTTGGATGTAATAAGCAGCTCCATGTTGTGCATGTCGGTGTAGTTTCCCTGCATGACCACTAGAGGGGGCTATCTGACTCGTGGCATCTGCATCATCTAACTTGATCTTGAAATATTCCACCACCTGCTTCATTTTAGTGGACCACAGTGTACAGTTTATCACATTTTAGTCTGTCAGAAGTCCAGCTGTGGTTTTTGCCTCTTCACTGGAAGACTGTTTTCATTTAAATAAAAAAGGGGGCTGTATTTTTTTAAACAAAGCTAAAGATAAAAGTCATTAAAGATCAAAAATACACTGTTTTTTTTAAAAGAAGACTCCTCAGATAGCTGGGCATTGTAGTTTTAGTAGGCATTACTCAAACAGCAGTAAATGGTGCATTTGTTGGGGAATATTCTTAGCTGTGAATGTGGTGCTGGCATGAGCATTTACATATACAGTATTGTTCAAAATAATAGCAGTATAATGTGACTAACCAGAATAATCCAGGTTTTTAGTATATTTTTTATTGCTACATGGCAAACAAGTTACCAGTAGGTGCAGTAGATTCTCAGAAAGCAAACAAGACCCAGCATTCATGATATGCACGCTCTTAAGGCTGTGCAATTGGGCAATTAGTTGAAAGGGGTGTGTTCAAAAAAATAGCAGTGTCTGCCGTTGACTGTACAAACACAAAACTATTTTGTACAAACGTTTTTGTTTCTAGGATTTAGCAATCCTGTGAATCACTAAACTAATATTTAGTTGTATGACCACAGTTTTTTATAACTGCTTCACATCTGTGTGGCATGGAGTCAACCAACTTGTGGCACCTTTCAGCTGTTATTACACTCCATGATTCTTTAACAACATTCCACAATTCATTTACATTTCTTGGTTTTGCTTCAGAAACAGCATTTTTGATATCACCCCACAAGTTCTCGATTGGATTAAGGTCCGGGGATTGGGCTGGCCACTCCATAACATTAATTTTGTTGGTTTGGAACCAAGACTTTGCTCGTTTACTAGTGTGTTTGGGGTCATTGTCTTGTTGAAACAACCATTTCAAGGGCATGTCCTCTTCAGCATAAGGCAACATGACCTCTTCAAGTATTTTGACATATGCAAACTGATCCATGATCCCTGGTATGCGATAAATAGGCCCAACACCATAGTAGGAGAAACATGCCCATATCATGATGCTTGCACCACCATGCTTCACTGTCTTCACTGTGTACTGTGGCTTGAATTCAGAGTTTGGGGGTCATCTCACAAACTGTCTGTGGCCCTTGGACCCAAAAAGAACAATTTTACTCTCATCAGTCCACAAAATGTTCCTCCATTTCTCTTTAGGCCAGTTGATGTGTTCTTTGGCAAATTGTAACCTCTTCTGCACGTGCCTTTTTTTTAACAGAGGGACTTTGCGGGGGATTCTTGAAAATAGATTAGCTTCACACAGACGTCTTCTAACTGTCACAGTACTTACAGGTAACTCCAGACTGTCTTTGATCATCCTGGAGCTGATCATTGGCTGGGCCTTTGCCATTCTGGTTATTCTTCGATCCATTTTGATGGTTGTCTTCCGTTTTCTTCCACGTCTCTCTGGTTTTGCTCTCCATTTTAAGGCATTGGAGATCATTTTAGCTGAACAGCCTATAATTTTTTGCACCAAACTCAAACTGACAGAGGACACCCAGGCTGACACAACCACACTACTGGTTTACAAAAATCATACCTCATTAACAATAAAAACCTGAGACTCAGTGTTGACTCCAGCCTCTTAATGATGCCAAGGACACAACACCAAGGCATAGCCCAGCCAACAAAATATACTGTAGATGCATTAGTAAAACTTATTATTTTGAACAATACTGTATGAGTACTGAGCGGCAAAGAGGCAGTACAGAGAGAAGCTGAATGGCTTCTATTCTACTACTGACTCCGGACGAATGTGGCAAGGCCTGCAGCACATCACAGACTACAGGACCACCACCAGCATCATCAGCTCCACAGACAGCCTCCTTTAAGACCACAACCATCATCCCCCTTCCCAAGAAGAGCCCGGTCACCTGCCTGAACGACTACAGGTCAGTGGCACTCACCCCAATCATTATGAAGTGTTTTGAGAGAGTGGTGCTGGCCCACATTCAGAGCAGTATACTGGACACCCTGGACCCCCTGCAGTATGCCTACTGGTCCAACAGGGCTGCTTCAGACGCCATCGCAGCTGCCCTCCACTATTCTCTTTCTCACCTGGAAAATGGAGACTCCTACATCAGGATACTCTTCATTGACTACAACTCCGCCTTCAACACAGTTGTCCCCCACAACCTCACCCACAACCTGTCCACACTGGGTCTGCACCCCACCCTCTATGACTGGCTCCTGGACTTTCTGACTGGCAGGCCCCAGACT